TTGCTCTCTTCAGATTGTACAAGAGCATAGACTTCCTGAACTGATGGAAGATCCTTAGAACTGAGAATCTGTACTCTGATAGATTCATACATAGGATTCAGACCATGTAAGAAGGCAAACACTCTTTGCTGGGAGACAAGTTTCTTGTACATCTTGGCATCCTCATCACACTTCCAATCCACATTCTGGTAATGGTCCAACTCCTTCCAGACAGAAGTCAAGTCAGAGTAATATATTGATAAACTTCTCTCCCCCTGTCTACAAGTAGATGATGCTGCTTGCAGTTGATAGATCTTGGCATAGTGTCGCAGTTTTGGATATGTAGATTTTGTTTGTTCCCAGATCTCACTTGTGGTTTCAGCCCACATGCAATTCTTCCTTATTTGAGGTTGCATGGAGACCAAGAGCCAAGACATAACCATACTGTTCTCCTGATTCCATCTATCATATTCAGCATTCCCAGAGGGTGGTTCTTTGATTCTCCCATTAATATAGCCTATCTTCCCCTTTGCAGTGATGTATAACTTGGTCCCTCTTGACCACTCTAGGTAATTTAAACCATTAAGAGGGACAACAACCATAGAAAAGGATAGGTCACCACCCCCACTCATTCCATTAAGCATTGAGGAAACACCAGATGTGGATGAATCTTCACTACTCATGATTTCGGGTTTAAGAAAAAACACAGCACCCAAAGAAGGAACACTGCCTCACAGAGCTGTTACAGAAGCAGGTCCTTATGACCTTCAGTCCACAAAAGAAAAGCACTTGCTATTGCAGCATACAAACAGGTCCTTCTGACCTACGGTTTCACAGGGAGCCACACTGCTGTTGCAGCACTTGAACAGGTCTGTATGACCTACAATTTTGTAGGAATCCAAAAGACAAACACTGCAGTTGCAGTACATAACCAGGTCTGTATGACCTACAGTTTCACAGAGATCATATGACCCCTCAACAGAATGGAAGATACAAAGTGAAGTTCACCACACACCTAATCGGCAGACCTGGTACAATACCAACTTCAGGGCAGCCGAACAGTCAATGAGATCAAAGAAAAAAAGGGCTACTTCAGTCTATCAACAGGGTAGCCGAACAATAGTAACACAAAAAAAAGAAACACCATAGTCGAATCTTAGGGCATCAACAGTCCATCAAAGGGTGCAAAGAAATACAAGAAAAACTTCAGTTGAATACCAAGGCACCCGAACAGTAGATGAACAGTACCTTTTTGAACATCAGATGATAGCCTCTCTGTAAACCAGAACTTTCTCTACGAACATCAGATGATAGCCTCTCTACAGCCGAACAGATAATGGATACAGCTGTTGGATTGAAGTCTTTGTATGTATGAGTATTCGGCTGATAAGAGTTCTTATTAGCCTATACTTAAGTTTAAGTTGTCCTGTACTGGGCCTTTGTTAATGGGCCTAATGTTTAATGTTTTAAGTTGTCTGGGTGTCCCATCACTAATCAGGGGCATTCTAGTAACTTCCTGTATC